TTTGCAACTGTCCTGGATCGCCTGTTATTCTTCCCTATCTATAGGTCTAGGATGGTTTTTAGGGTCTCAGGAGGGAGGGGGAAATGATGGGATGCTGAACCCACCCATGGCAGTGGATGCTTCTACTGTAATAGGGCTCTGCTCAGACAAAAGCCTTGATCCATATTTTTTTTCTTTTCTTTTGGGGAAGACATCTCATTTCACACTATAGATTAACTGTGAATCATTTAGCCTTGCTAATTAAGGTCCCGGGAGGGTCTTCCATCCCATTCAGGGCTGCTGAAGACATGCTGAATTTTCTGCACAGATTATCAAAGCGGCATAAAGGCACTGCGCCCGTGTTGTCATGCCTACTGACTGCGCATGCACCTCTCTTTGGGGGATCTGGAGCCTTTTGCATCTCCCGGTAACCCTGATGTTGTCTGCCCTCCAGGGGTGGGAAGCCAGGAGAATGGGCAAGGGAAGAGACCGCCCGTTTGCCTTCTGATGGCATGGCAGATCAGAGAAACCACAGATTGAGATTGGCCAGCTGCGTAGAAAAGACAGAAATAATTTACCTTTCTAGAAGAGTCGCAACTCCCAGAATATATCCCAACCAATACGATTGCGCTGGATGGGGCTTCTGGGAACTGTAGTCCCAAAAAAGTAACTTTACTTCTTTTTTTTCTTTACACGTGGGGAATTTATAACATGAAGAACCACTTAGAGCAAGGGTTCCCAAACCTGGTGTTCTTGGACTACAGTTCCCAGAAGCCTTCACCAGCAGCTGTGCTGGCTGGGGTTTCTGGGAGTTGCAGTTCAAGCACATCTGGATTAGCCAAGGTTGGGAACCACTGGGTTTGAGGAAAAGAAGCTACTCTTCATCTATCGTAGGAGCCTGATGGCTTTCCAAAGAATCTTGGGAAATGTAGTTTGCTAGGGGGCTGTTAAAGTTCCCACCCCTCATTTAGAGAACTACAATTCCCAGGGTGCTCTTGAAAGAGAGAGAAAAAAACGGATTGTTGTTGTCTGCTAAGTAGATATCCCCAAGAGGAATACAGCAGATCCAGGATTTCTTAGCTAAACTGTTTTCTGCCATATAGCTAGTGAAGGCACTGAAGCTGTATTTAGATCAGGACGTGTCTCTCCATGTGCTCATTCATGCGTGCATATGCATACTGAAAAGTTTGGGCTGATTTTTTGAGAGGTCATCTTGTTTAGGGGGTGGTTTTTTAGACAATGGTCACAATAGATGGGTTACTGGAGATTTTGGGCATGTAAGATTTCATGATCAGAAAATGCTGCTCAGGATCTCTTGAAATGGAGTGGACTTCTGATCCACGCCCACTCCATTTCCATGGATGTAGAATGCTAGCAGCAGGCTCAAGTTTCTAGGCCTCATGAGAAGAGCTTGGAACATTTCCTGTTTATGGACTCTGTCTCTAAGAATCCTTCTGTTGGCACAGGATGTTCTGGCAGTGGGGTTAAAGACAGAAATAATTTACCTTTCTAGAAGTTGGGGGTTTTGGGAGCTGTAGTCTGAAAAAGTACCATATTTTTCCTTGTATAAGACACCTCCATGCCCAAAATAAAAAAATCTAAGTGAGGCTTAGCAAGTGGAGGGGAAAGCAGGGATCAAAGCCCTGCAGGATCACTTTGATCCCTGCTTTCCCCTCCACTTATTTTTGTTCTTTCCTCAGCTTACCTCCATGTATAAGACGACCCTCAATTTTTAGTCTAAAGATTTTAGACAAAAGTATAGTCTTATACACGGAAAAAATACGGTAACTTTTCAAGCTCTGCTGTCTTATACACAGAAAAATACGGTAACTTTTCAAGCTCTGCTTCTGAAAAGTGGTTTACCTTCTAAAGGCCTCAAACTGCCTCCAGGTCTAAACATGTATACAAAGCAGAGGAATGGGAACTGAACTGTACACAGAGACCTGATAGCCATGGTTTCAGATACGAAATGCTTCCTCTTTCATAAAATCATTGGTGGCAGTTTGATGGATCTTAGCCCCAGCTGCTAGTCCCAATTGGTATGCACCTATTTTAATCAACTGGTGTGTGGTGAGCTAACAGGGGTTTAGCTCTCTGGCTGTGGAGCCAGGGGTTGGGGGTTCGATTACCTGCCAGGCCTCCCTCTAGCTCTCTGGCTGTGGAGCCAGGGGTTGGAGGTTCGATTACCTGCCAGGCCTCCCTGGACAGGGGCTGAACTCCGTAATCCACAGGATCCCTTCCAACTCTGCAGTTCTAAGATTATTATTATGCTATCATTATACCCCAGAGATTCAATGGGTCTGCTCGACCCATGGGTTTGGACTGTAGTATCCGGGCAGGAGGAAAAGAGAAAACCCAAGTAGGAGATGCCTTCACTCTATAAAGGGAGCCATGGCCTTCAGTTTGCAAGAGCTGAGACGGGCTGTCGATTATAGCAATGGTCTCCAACATTGGGCCTCCAGATGTTCTTGGACTTCAGCTCCCAGAAATCCTGGCCAGCAGAGGTGGTGGTGGTGAAGGCTTCTGGGATCTGTAGTCTAAGAACATCTGGAGGCCCAAGGTTGGGGACCACTGGGTTATAGGACATGTTGGAGGCCATTCATTTAGAAGGTCATCTTAATTTGGGAGGCATCTTGAAAACATAAAACAACAAGGAACAACTAGTACTTAGAGGTTTTGCATTTATGTAGTCATTTCTGCCTAGCAAACATGGGCAGATGAATGGCCAGAGGGTGGACGGATCTTGGGAGGGAATAAAAATTTCTGTTCTGAGCCCTTGGAGATCCCTCAGTCCTTCAGGAAACAACAGCTGGAGAGATAGAAGGAGCTGCCTTACACTGTGAGACTTGAAGCCCATTAAAGGCAATGCCAGATTTGAGAAACATTTCTTCATTTGACTACATGTCCCATCACCTCCCAGTTTGTATAGTTAGCAAGAGCTTTCTCAGATCTCAGGGTGGGTATTCTTATCCATTAGTTGCTACCTCTAACTTCTTTTAATGGGAGGTGCTGGGGAATCAAGCTTACGACCTTCTGAAGGTCAAGGACGGCAATAGAGATGTGGCTTCCCAAACCAAATTGAGGTGAAGCCTTCTTGCTCCTTGAGCAGAGGCTGTGGTGAGATTCGAACCAGGGGCTGCTGTGTTAGAGAGCAGGAGCAAACCGGCCCATTAGACTTGAGGAGCTTCACTTCTGGGCATTCAGCGCCTGCTGTGTGATGCTGGCACCACGGCTCGCTTCATCTCTGTGACACAAGGTATGCCCTTCCCAACCACTGCAGTTAGGATTGGATTACAGGGTGCGAAAGGAGGCTGCTGAAATTGACACTCTGGGCACCATATAGAGCAAGGCGCCTCTTCTGAGCTCAGTGGGGCTTCATCTATCAAGGGTCTGTAAGGCAGAAGCCCAGGGTTCAGTAAGAGACATGACCGTCTTCAAACGATGAAGCTGGTCCACCTCGTGGCCAGCCGTGTTCTTCACGATAGAGCCCTTGAGGTCATAGTTAGCTATTGGCAACAGAGGTGGTGGGATCCGGAGGGAAACTGAGCCTTATAAGGGCAAAAGACCTACCGTGTTTCCCCCAAAATAAGACAGGGTCTTATATTGCTCCAAAAATGCATTAGGGCTTATTTTTGGGGGATGTTTTATTATTGTTTTTTTATGTACAGCAATCTATGTTTGTTCAAATAAAGTAATGGCATTTTCTTCTGGTTGTTGCACAGTGGTGGGGGGCGGGATCTCCCTTAACTAGGGCTTATTTTGGGGTTAGGGTTTATATGACGAGCATCCTGAAAAATCCTACTAGGGCTTATTTTCAGGTTAAGTCTTATTTTCGGGAAAACAGGCCATGTTTTAACCCTTTGCTTCTACTATCAATGCCCAAGCTGGGGGGGACCTCTTTCTGCTTGAGGGTTGAACCCCAATTCAGAACATTTTGGTGGTGGGGAGGAGGGGGCTCCATTCCAGTGATGAATGCCCCCCTTCAAAAAAAAATTTAAGGCCAAAAATAGTGGCACACAGCTTTGAGCTTCTGGGGGCCAGGAATCAGCTTTCGGAAAGTCATTGCCAGCCACTTCTTAGTTTGTGGGTGGAAAGGCTGTATAAAAGTTGGGAAACTCACCAGGAAATGGGGCACAGCTGTCTGGGGAGGGTCAGGACCTCAGGAGCGCCAGGTCAACCCCCTCTGATCAATTTCTTGGGGAGGAAGGGCTTGTAGGAGGAAGGCCAACACGGAAAGCACAGAAAAAGGAAGGTACGTATACCAAGAGCATCGTGACGCATGCACGTCGTAATGAATGTCCCCACTCCCATTTATAAAATAGTAACAGAGGGGGAAAAAAGAACCCCCCCCCAAAAAACAAAACCACAGGAGGATTGTTGCTACACCTGTGCTTCCTTGATCCCATGCTTGATCCTGCTTTACTGTCATGGTTGTTCTCTTGAGAAGTCATTCATTATGCAGATCTATGTATATTTTAAAGGCAGGTGGATTTTTCCTCTCCCCCCCCCCACTGCATGGAAGGGGTAACAGAGGCTCAGAAGAACACCCAGATTCAGTGAGCGAGCCGGATCGTGGTTTGAGGAAGAGGGGCAGTTCCTCCACCCGCCCAGCCCTATCCGAGCCGTTGTGCTTTCTGTCTCTTTGGCCCCATCCCCACCCTCTGGAAGTTCGTTGGCGGGTCTTTGGCTTTCCCTCCCCAGCACAACGTTAAGACAATATATAAATTCCAGTGTTATTTGGGGAGAAGGGGGTGGGCCAGGGGAGGGAGGGAGGGAAAACCAAAGACGAACGAGGAGACACCTTAAGACACAAAGGGAAAGGGAGCTGGTCTATCATACAAGGATGGGCAGTAGTCGTTGAAAGCAAAAATTAAAAAATATATATCAACACCAAAGTCACCGGTCAACACAAACACGGTGGGGGCTGAAAGGGGTTGGAAAAGTTAAGCAGGGAAGGCGGGGGGGGAGAGGGGGGGGAAGGGCCCCCCCACTTCCCCTCCG